ATGGCTGCTTCAACACTAACTGCTGTTCCTGAAACCACGCCTTTTTTCTTTGCGTGAACATTTGGGCGCATTATGCAAATATTTCCACATAGTGACCTAGATATGTGGGGGCGTGTTAGAACGAGCCGTTTTAGGGGGGTGTGGCAGAGTCTTAACTTTGATAAAGAATATCTCTTTGGTTTTGAGACTTTAGTCTTTGCAACTTCAGGGATCTTATCTATTCACGAACAGCTTGTAACACTCCAAAGAGAAAGGAAAAGTTGAAATCGCATCATATGACCCCTTTAAGAAGTGCAGTAGAAAATTTGAAGTATAAGATATCCCACAATGAATTGTGCTCAATCTTTTATTTACAGAGACAAAAGATTCAGAAGCCGCATCAACATCAACCCTTTTTAATTTATTTTTTATCAGAATTTGGAAAAAAACCAAAAAAAAAACAAAATTGAATTAAAAATGAATCTGATTTTAAAAATAACCATTTAGATCTATATTTTTATACACATTTATTTGCATATACTTATTTTTTAAATATGAATAAAATATTTAAAATAATACATGTAAATATGGTTATTTTTAAATTAGATTTATTAATTATTTTTAATCCAACTTTGTGCAAAAAAAAATGCTTTACATTTTCAAATTCTGATCAAAAATTAATCAAAAAAGAGAATCCGAGGTTAATGTCGCTTAAAAATTCCTTAAATTGACAAATTCTGATTTTTAGCTTATTTTTAATCATAATTTGGGACAAAATATTGAAATTGATATTGAATGATCCAGTTTACAAAATACCCATATTTACATTTATTTTGTAATATGTTTTTTATTTACGTTATATGTAAACTTTAACAAAAATGTTTTAATATATTATAATACATATTTATAATATATAAAAATAAAGATATATAATATAATACATATTTCATATATAAAATATTATTAATTATAATAATTAATTATATTAATTATAACATATAGAAATAAAGATTATATAACAAAAAATGAA